ATTCCTGCTTGTGGAGGATCATGAGCTGTTTTGATTTTAAACCATTTTGAAAAACGTTGCAGGCCTGACTAAGTGTATAGTGTGATAACAATTTTTTCTCATCACCCATGTCTGGGTTTCTCTCTTTCCCATATACCACTGGAGAAGGCTGTCCGTACCTCACTAGCTCTGCATTTTACTGGACACTGAGGCATCAAGACTGCTCTGGCAGTTACCAGAAGCCAACCTACTTTGCCCACAGCACTGAGATAAAGTGTCTTTTTATGCAATTTCCCTTCTAGAATGTTTGGAGATGTTGAAAGGATAAGAGTTCACAGCCAGGGAAATATTAGTTAGTGGTGTGCTTGACTCTACACCTTTTTCTCAGGAATTCTACCTAAGTTATCCACCTCTCCCACCACCAGAAGACTTTCCATTTCCTACTTTTCTCTTGAATTTTGGAGGGAAAGATACTCTGTGGACAAAGGCACAGCCTTATAATCTCAGGGAAAAATTTTAACCACTGTATGTGACGGTACCAAACATTGATTAAGGGGCATAAAAATTCGGGATGCAAAGCCAGAAGCAGGGTATTTATTAAAATGGGATACTCCAGACTCTGTAATTTCTCTCTGGAAAGGGAAGTGCATCGAATACCAAATAAATACAGAGTGACTTATACTTGTCCTGTCTGCAGTCTCCTTCCTGCCTTGTTCCTTCTGTGAGAATAAGTCTGTTAGGTCTCTGGTTTGCAAGTCACATCCAACCTAACTCATGGACTTGAAGGAATTTTAGGCTCACTTACATGCAAGGCCAGATGTGGAGTGGTCTCAAATAGGGGTTGATACGGGTGCTCAAACTGGCATTAGGAATCAGCTCTGTTCTTCTTTAAGGTTTCTTTGATTTGGGGCTGTGTTTGGTGGCAGGATTGCTGCTAATAGCAAATGGTAGGCCTGCATCTTCTCAGGTTCCTGCTGAGTCAAACAAAGACAGCACTTCTTACCTCCTGCTGAGTCAAAAAAAGACAGCATTTCTTTCCAGTAGATCCTGAACCATCCCATGATTTCCTCTAAACCATGTGTCAATCCCTGCCCCAGTCACCATGGTCATATGGATAGAATTATGCAAATTAGCAATTCATAACTGTGTCATTAAAATATCACTATTAGTAATGTAGCTGGAATTTAATTTTTGGTAAGGTAAATCTAAATGTCTCATGTAATAGAGGTCAAGTTGACATTTTATGTATAAAGTAATTGAAAGACAAACACTAGGATTATAGTCTTTGAGTAGAGAATCTGCATGAAATGGTGTCAGGCAAACTGTATCTTTTACAGTGTTTGATAATCTGGTAAGAACACTGAGTATACTAAGAATACTGAATTTCTAGGTAAGGCAGTTTAAGAAAAGTCACTAAGCTTGCTATAATTAGTAGGGTTAAGACTCTTTGGCATTCATGCTTGCTTATTCAGAGAAGATAGTCCTATACAGCATTGATATAGGTTAAGTGGGAAACTGAGAACCCCTGAGCCAATATTAAATGCAAGGGGCCCAAAATATGGAGAACTGGTGCTCTGGAAGCTACACTGGATTCTTCAAGGTCTGTGTCTGTGCAGGGGCTGAAAGTATCATTTGGAACTTGAAAGTTATAAGTGTATTGTCATTCCTCTAGCTCTTTGTTTCACTTATTTTCTCATGTCTGTCTCTCTGAATTGACAATAAGATCTTTTTGGATAGAAACCCTTCTTTCACTTTGATTTCTGGCCCTCAAATGATAACTAAATGAATGAATTTAATGATTTGGGGAAGACTGACCAAGTGACACACACCCAGAAGGCAAAACTTATCCAGATACAGAAGTTTAATTTGATTACTTTAAATACTACTTTAATATTTAATAATTTAGTTCTAGCCAAATTATTTCCCCAAGTCATCATTTTAGGGGTTCCTGATCCCTGAGGATCTCATTGTTTTTCCTTGAAAGCACTCAGGTCCTTTGTTTGTTAAGGGGTGGCTTTGCTGGTGTGGCTATGGGTTATACTTTAATGTTATGGAAATGGCACAGTCTGGACTGAGTCCAGCTGAGATTAGTCAGGATTTCAGGATTCTCATGACGAAAGTAGCACTATTGTTAGTGCTAAATTTTTTCCACAGGCAAATTATTCACGCTGCATAACAGTTCAAAGTTAATGACCACCTTGGAACTGAGGGATTCCAGCAGAGGATCACTTCTTTGAAAACATTCCTATTTCACAGTGAGGGTCCTGGCCCGGCTCCCTGGCTGAGATTCCTCACCCAGAATCCCCACCTCTACTGCCTGCCCTTCAATCCTCCTGCTTCCCAGCTGGGTTTGAAAGAGAGAGAAAGCAGGCAGAACCCATTTGGTTCTCATGTTTCTGGTAGCACCACCCAGTCGGCTCAGAGAATTATCTTTAAAAGTTTTAAGATGTGTGTTCACTTCACAGATATTTCTTAATGGTCTGGTGTCCATCTGGCAAGGTGACAGGCATGGCAGTTCCTGGGATGAGTGAGACAGACTTGGTGTTCACTCTCATGGAGCTTATCCAGTGAAGAAGACACAGTGGACAAGCTGTTGAAAAGGTGATGAGTTGTGAGAAAGGGCAAGTAGAGGGGGCTAGAATCTAAACCTGGGGGCACTAACCAACTTTGAGGGGTCAGGGGAGAACATGTTGGAGTTGACTGGATGAAGGTTGGAGAAGAAAACTATTCCACATGGAAGGAAGCGTTTACATAAAGTCCCTCAAGCAGGAAAGCCAGTCATGTTGGAGGAACTACCAGAGGCCAGTAGGTCTGAGCAATGAAAGTGGAAGAAGGCATCTCACATGTGGCTAAAGAAGGAGGCCATCAGGTCATGGGAGATCCTGAGAGGTATGGCAAGGATTTTGGACTTTATACCCAGAGCAGCAGTAAGCTATGAAGGATTTTAGGCTGAGCAGTGACCAGATAAGACATATTCATTCCTAACAGCTGCTCATTCTCCCATGGTTCTTCACCATCTCCAGTATCCCTCCAGCACCATCATGGGGCTGCTCTCCAAGGTGCTGTATGCCTCGTGGCTCTGAATCATCCCCACTGTCAGGCTGCACCCTGAGTAGCCCACACCCAAACCTAGTTTCTAAGGTTGAGCATCAGCCTCTGAAGTTTAAGGGGAGTAAAAGAGGTGCAGGTAACACCCATGGACACAGCCCCCTTCTTTCCTTGCCCACACTGTTGTCAACATGCCCTCCTGTGTGACTGCACCATGCAACCCATCAGAACAGAGCCACTACAGGAGCCAGAAATGTCAGAGAAAAAGAAAAGGCATACAAAATGTAAGCAGGTCTGCCTTCCCCAAAGTTTATTTTACTATACTGCTCCCCAACTAAAAGGAAGAATATATTTTTTTTTTCTTGAGAATATAGAAACACTTTATTTGTTTAGGTTCTCAGAGTTTAGGACCAGCATAATGGAAGGACTTCAGAAAAATTATATTGCTAATCTATTTATATGTATTTTTGTGTGTGTCTGCTTGGACACATATAATATGTGCTCCATTTCATAAGGTATGATAATGGAACAACAACTAGGCAGCATGTTATGTGAGTGACTTTGCAAGTTCTCTACATGATGTGCCAGGCTCAGTGCTAGGCAGTGGAGTTCATAAAGGTGAACAAATTCTTCCCTTAGGTAATTAGCAAACTACAGAGGATATGGAATATGTGCACAGTTTATGAGAATGAGATCTCCACCTTATGTAAGGAAAATATGTAATATTTTCGGAGTCTATGGCTAACTGCTCCTAAAAACAGGACAACAGGCCCCAAATGGAGTCACTTATGCTAAGCCCCACATCCCAAACCAAGACTTAATTACAGTTTTGGCTCTCCCAAAAATGGAATCTCAAACCAGTCTATCAGGAATTGCCTGATCAGCACTAGTTAATCTGCCTGATAGACCCCTGTCCTCCCCTAAACGAAAGTAATGTTGCAATAACCAACCTTCTTTTTACCTAACATAACTTCCTTGTTTCTGCTTCCTTCTGCCTACAAAATTCTCTCATTTTGTACATTCCCTTCGAGCTCCCTTCTCCTAGGAGGGATGCTGTCCAATCGAATTGATTTTTGCTTAAACAAGCTCTTAAAAATTTTAATATGCCTCAGTTTATCTTTTAACAGCTCTGGTGTGAGAAGAGGGAACTTAAGGAGACCCCCCAAAGGCCCCAAGAAGCAAAAGCAACCAGACTTGGTTACCTGCTGAGCCCTTGAACTCTGCTTTCCCGGTGCCTCTGGAGGTGGTAAGTCTCCTCAGATTGTAGCTCTGCAGCTTTTCCTTGAGTTTCCAGATTTTATTAGAGCATTTTTTTTTCTTGACTGAGTCCAGAAACTCACCAAAATCAGATTGGGTCTGACTTAGAAACCAGACTTGGTCTGCAATTTGACTGGGTCCAGCTTAGAAACTGGACTGAGTCTAGAGTCAGACTGGGTCTGACTTAAGTTTTTCTGAGTCTGCTTGAGA